TGAAGCATCTATGTCTTTTCCACAATCGTGATGAATGTTGTAGTACTAGACAAGATGTTATTATCTATGGCTCCACCAGATCTTATAACCTAACTTGTTTCAATCTCTATCTTGCATCCACAACTTTGCCTGAATTGCAACCGCTCATCACCAAAATCTCCAATATAGCTCTGATTCCAATTATTGTGCAAAATAATGAGGAAAATATTCATATAATAAACTAACAACCAAACACAGTGTGACTTAATGGTTCGACACAGATTCACCTACGTTCACGGGGAGAGGTTATTTCACTATCAACATGTTAGAAGAAGAAAAATCGGCTAAATTAGGGTTACAAATTAACATACCCGAATCCTCCATAATTTCTTATATAAATAAGAGATGATTAGCATATACAAAATTAAGAATATTTCAGGAAAGATCATATCTCAAATTTTAATTCACAATATAAAAATATCATATAATCAGATCTACCTAAATTATGTTATCAAATATCAATCTTCATAATATACACACTTCCTAATTTATAATCATTAAATTTTAATACTCTCCATAACACATGATTCAGCCAAAACAACTTCTCTGGATCGTAAGCGGATGGATCTCCCGAGAGATAACAACACTTCACACCAAACAAAACCCGAATCTTTTGAGCAATCATTTAATATTTTATCCTTTTTTAATAAATGTATTATATTTATATCTATACTAATATTAAAAAAAATGATTTATATTTAAAAAAAAGTTAGCTACCTTTTTTTCTCCTTTTGTTGTCTAATTAGTTCTATTAAATATTGCCATCCAAGCAACTACTTGGATAAATCAAACTTTCACTCAGTTTCATCTATCCTATAGTAAATTATTATTTTAATTAATTAACTAAAATGTTTAATTTGATAAGCTATCCATAAAAAAAAATTATGCATGCATAGATTGCCTTTTGATTCAAGTTTTAAATATTAAAGCATCAAGTATTCTAACCAAATGTTTTGGAATTAACGAAGGTCAAAATCGGGCAGTCTGATGAGACAAGTTCCAAAGACATCAAATGCTTAGATTGTCCACCAACTTTAATTAGAAGCTTAAAAATATTACTAACAAATTCTACATGCCATGTAGAGCTTCAAATAAGTCATAAATTTTACATGCTCATAATCATAACTACTGGCAGCTCTAAACTGACCAATGCAATGTACCACAATGGTTAAAAAGCATATATTCCTTCAAAATCCTAAACATACACTTTATTTTCACATTCTTTTGAGGATTCTAGCAACAATAAACATACGATTCTATGTAGCAACAACAATAATAGAATTTTAGAGCATGATACATTATCACCCATCCTATGTAGCATGCCAATGACATGTGAACTTAACACCAATTTTTACTTTCTCTGCACTCTCTTTCATCAATCATCACCCACCAACGATGGCACACATTGATGTTAATTATTTGCATTCTAACTTGAACACTAGTATAACACTTTTGTGAGAGGGGATTGCATATTTTTGTACACGTGACTGACAGTGATTAGAGTCCTGATACATTTTTGCATCAGTACTTTTGATATAATATTTTTTTCCAAAATTTCAGTCGATTTGAAGGAGGTAGCTAGGGTCTTCCTTCATCGAGAAAGTGATCTTATTAACCAAGCTTACTTAGGGTCCGTTTGGGGCAGCTTATTTGGTGCGTTGGCGTTTTGAAAACACACCACACCTGACCTGTTTGGGTACTGTTTGGGTAAACTACGTTTTGGCAGCTTATGCGTTTTGAAAACGCTGAAAACAACATTTTCACACTGCCCCTATCTAGGTGCGGTGACAGCTTTTTGGTAGCGGTCTGACTTTTCTAAAAAAAATAAAAATTTGTAATAGACACAGCACCTAACTTATCAGCAGATTATTTTTAATCAGCTTATCAAAAGATTATTCAATAAGCTGCAGCTATCTCAAACAGACCCTTAATCTAAGAAGGTTCAGAGGACTTCATTCATGCTTATAATAATCAAACTGTTTCCAATTCCTTGGGACATTGCCGCTGAGACTGTTGACGTCAAAAAATTTCATTAACTTTTAAAAATGAAATACAGCTTTTCTGGATATATAAGGTAGCATAAATATAAATATCAAAGTTTGAAGTTAGATATGTAAATAAATAGAAATTGTATTGCACATATGCATTTCTATTCTTTACTGTTTGATGAAAAATCAAATGAATGAAAAGAAGAGAAGTAAATGAAAATAGAACACAACAGATGAGATTACAAAATATAAAACTCAAACTTGGCCTCTTAAACTTGAAGTGGAATATAACGGGGAAACAGTGAAGGGTGATTGCAAACAGTACGATAGATAAGCACAATAATGGCTTGGGTAAATTACATGCATAGCCCTCGGAAACATTACTATTTATAAATTTAGCACTCTCTTTCATCCATTTTTCAAATTCTCACTCAAAAGTCAAAATTCATATATGTAATTATTAGTACAAATCCAACAGGGCTAATATATGGATGGCAGAAAATGGAACATAGACTGGATTGATTAGTCCAAAAATTATATTTAATCAAGAAGAGCATCAGAAATGACCAAGCTCACTGGAGATCAAGACTAAGAAGGGGCACTTAATACAAACCACCCAATTCCTATATATTTATATAATTAACACCTAACGTTTATTTTTTATATTTACATCACCCAAAGCTTTCATATCACATCAAAATATCACTATTTTAACTTCCAAAATGTGAAATACACACTTTCATACATAGGTAAGGAGGGGCGCACATGTAAAAATTGAAGTTTAGGTGTTAGATATGTAAATAAATTGATAAGAAATACAAAAAAGATGCACATACCTTCAATAGGTATTGAATCTAAAAATGAATGTTTTAGTGAGTTCTATTATTAACATCATGAAACACACAGGCAGTAAATCATTACTTCGACTGTTAACCTCAAAAGACAATGCCTGTTACAAGCCAAAGAGAGTTTTCTGTAGCTTATGGGGAGAGAAAAATAAACGAAAAAGTTGCCAATTTGCTTAATGGAGGTTAGAACTATAAACATTCAGCTATTTATAATATTAAAAACTCCTTGAACAAAAACACCATGATTAAAATTTGGCGGAAAGTGATAGGAGATAACCAGCTTCATGGCCATTTGGAGACCATGAAGGACATAGACACCGAGAAGAATAAAATTGCAAGCTTCTGAACAGCATCTCATGTAACAAAAAAGAAGGTTTTTTTCAAAAATTGTATATAACGTATAACTTGCAATACTCAACTTCATCCCCTAAGAAGAAATACTGAACAGCATCTCATGTAACGTAAATGATATAACTAGTCATTTCAAGCTTCCAGTGACAGCCTCCATCACATTCCATGACAATGCAAAAGATGCTATATAAGTCAAAACACTCAAAAATGGACAACAATTAAATGCAAATATCCAGATACATTTTGTATCAGGATGAGGCTAATTTAAATACAATGGACATTGATTTCATGAGTCACATGTTATATGATATATAAAAATTTAAAGAATAATATAGCTAGATTAACAGTCATTTACAAGTAAACATGACCAAAGTTATGAAATGAAATCTCAGAAAAAAATAAAAAGTCAAACCACCATAAAATGGAAAAAACATTAAATGAAAGGCGTCCGGATACATTTTGTATCAGGATGAGGCTATTTTAGTTACATGTGACATTGATTTCATGCGTCGCACGTTATATACAATAACAACAAGCCCTTATCCCAATATGTGGGAGCGGCTACATGAATCCTTTTTCTCCATTGTGTCCTATTGAGTGTCAATTTTCATTTAATCATCATAAATTAAGATCATTTTTTTCTAGAACATGCCCAGGTCTTTTTAGGTCTACCACTACCTTTCATAACATAAATTGAATCTAAAATATCTACTCTCCTAACCGGATCTTCATATGATCCACGTTTAATGTGATCAAATCATCTAAAATTACTCTATAATCTTGTCTATCACTGGAGCTACACCAACACTTTCACGGATATATTCGTTCTGCATTTTATCTTAAGTGTAAAGCCACTCACCACCATCTTATAAGATTTTCCTTTTAAGTCTAAGTAGTATTTTTCTATCACACAATAGGTCTAATGCATTCCTCCACTTCAACCATCAAATAATATACTAAATTTAGAAAACATATAGAACAAAACTATTAAAAAATACAATTAAATTATTACACATGTAAAAGCAATCATGACAGAAAAAATATGAAATGAAATCCCAGAAAGAAATTTTCTTGATATCTATGGGATTACATGAAATCTAAGGAAAAAATTTTCCTAGTATCTGCATAACAGAAGATAAATCCAGCTAAGTATCTGAAAATCGTAAGAATATACATGGCAAAAAAAAAAAAAGAATCAACGGGACTACATAAAATCATGGTAGAGCAGGTTATCATTTGCTTTTATGAACCCAAGAAATAAAATTAACCCATCATTATACAGAACATATCAAGATATCCTAAAAAAGCTTTTCCCCTCGAAAATAGCAATAAATAGAAGAAAATCCATCTCTAAATACCAATGACAAGAATTCTCACATTAACATGATCAGTATACAAAAAAGAGCATCTACATGCATACCATGCAATTCTTATGAATTTGCATATGTAAAACCTAAACTTCAATTTTTTACATTTTTAACATTCAATTATTTCATATCACATTTGTTAACTTGTAAAAAGAGAAATACACCTTCTCAAGCAGGTTAAGTGGCATAAATGTCAAAATCAAAATTTTGATGTTAGATATATGTAAATACATAGGAATTGTGTGGCATGTAAATCTTCCTGTGAAAAAAAAGGGCACTTCCTCAAATCAGTAGAGCATAACCTCAAAAACATCCCAGTAACAAGTACAAATCTATCTGACTAATAATTATGACAAAAATTCAAAATCCCTAGAATATAATATGTAAAATCTACAAATACCTAAAAATCATCACAAGAGTATGTCAAGGGAAAGCAATCATTTTGATTTACAGATTTTAACAGCACATACAGAGAAAAATCAAATAATATACAAGACTTCACTTTTACAACTCCAATCTTATTTTATACTCAGATTTTTTTTTGCGTATTTATAGATTCCAACAGTTTCAACTATTCAGTCCACTCTCCACTCCAAGGCCATACAACACACCAGCATATTTCTCTGTCGAACCATTAAAATAAGACTCCCTAAGCTTCCTGAAAGCGCAAGAAGTAAGAAGACTATCAGATCCAGCCTGATGACAAACCCCAAACCTCTGCACATCAATCAACTCGGCGAGCTTATTAAGCCCACCGTGAAGACTATTACAAAACTTCATCAGATGCTTGATATCATAAAGAGTCGGGAAATAAACTCTGATAAGGTTAAAAAACCCAGCTTGAGTCTCAGGTAAATTCTGGCAAGTAAGCACCTTTAAGAGATAGCCGAAATCATACCCGCTATGAAACGTTACCCAGTTCACATTCTCGTTAAGAACCACTCCAGAAGACATAAGAAGCTCACCAAATCGCTGCGCATCGATGCCATGCTCGCTGTTCTTGGAGAAATCGATGCCGCTTTGTTGGAGTAATTCGATCGAATCCGTTGCGTAAACATCGCGCTGTATGTTGAACTCGCGGAAGTTGAACTGCCAGACGCAGCCAAGGCCGGTGTTGCAAGTGGGAAGATTGCCGTCTTCATCGGAGAAGGTGAGGCCGAGTTGGATGAGTTTGAGCATGCCGACGTTGGCTTGTAGGGTCGCGTAGTGGTAATCGGAGGTGTATTTGAAAGATCCGATGGGGCGGCACACGACGCCAGGGAACTCGGTGTCCATGGCGACGAAGGGGAAGTCGTCGACGATTTCGCGGATCAGGGCGAATTCCTGTTCAAGATTGTCGGCCCAGACCTCGCGGATCTGGATGGCATCGGTCTTTGGCATCACCGCCATGGCTGAATCATCAAGAGCTAAGAGAGAAATCAGGGTTCTTTGGGTGTCGAGAGAAAGGGCAGGAAGAAGTGGAGAACGCGAGATATTTTTCGTTTGTTGAGTGATTTAATGGAAGGAGTGTTCTGTACGCGGATCTCTTGGCTCCTCCGCGTACACACAGATCGCAAAATTTAATTTTTAAAACAAAATTTACAGACTTCACATTTATGTTCCTCGAGAGAGAGTGGGCCACTTAGGTTTTAGGATTCCTTCATCTTTTTCCTCTTTCTCATGAAAAACCCTAACATTTCTTTTCTCAAATCATCTTTTTTAGATGTTATTTCTAGTTTTAGGGACTTCCCCCTTTCTCCTCATTTTTTCTACTTCATTCACTCATCTCCTACCTTCTTCTCAATCTTTCTTTAGGCCCTTGTGCTTCCCTCAACTTAAAAGAACTTGATTTCTTCTCATCTTACTTACTCTAATTTTAATCTTACATTTATTTCTTTTATAAAGAATAAAGCTTTATTTTTGGGATCTAGTTTTTTTTTGAGATATGCGTGGGGAAAAAGATCTTGTAATGTCAATTTGCAATATACTGTCAAGAATAAATGGAAGCTGAAAGTTGATGTTGAATTTATATGTTCGAGCACATTTTGTTGTCCGTATTGATCTTCGGCCGACCTTAGTCAGTCAGTTGACTATTTTGGTCTGGTTGTCAACTGTTGAGTCATTAACCGGAAACTCATGTTGTTAGGGTAGAGCTAGCTATCAAGCCGAGAAGAAATAATCATAATTTGATACATAGTTAATCCCTTTGGCAAAAGATATGCCCGGATGGCTTGATTAGTGTTTAGTGATAAGGACATAAGGACCACTTGAAGAGCCTTTGAGACTCTTGTGAGGTGTCTAATGGTACCTCGACAAGGGCTGGAGAGACACCTCTCCTGGTTCGGGTAGGATGCAAGCCTCGACTTAGCTGACCTTTTTTTATTCAGCCTCGAGTCTTCTTCTGAGAGTTGCAGCTGGTCAACAAGACCCCATGACTCTCCTGCTAATGTGGTCGATATCTCTTTTGTTAGGGCATCTTTAATCGTACTTTTAACTTGTTATATGTTGAATTTCCTCGACTACGTATTTTTCATGTATAAATATTAACATAAATTTGACCATAATTTTTGATGAGGTGTTTGGAGAGATCGGTCGAATTTATGAAAATGCCTCTATTCAAACTTATAAATAGATCCAATTCTTCACATGAAGGAAATGAGGAGAAGAGAAGAGCGAGCTAAGAACTTACTCTTCTCATTCCTATAATTTCACTTAGCTTAATTTTCTTTATGGCATTTAAAAAATTTTGTTAATTTGGTCGAAGAAGGTACTTTTTGTGGGAATTGCTCTTGCAATAATTAAGATTGTCGTTTACGATGCCAAATACACATTTTCATGCATAGATAATGTGACATATATGCAAAGCTTAAGGCTTGGGTGTTAGATATGTAAATACATAGAAATTGAGTGGTATGTATGTAAATCTTTCTATTATTGAAGTAATAAATTCATCAATCTTAACCTTTTAAAAAATAATTAGTCATTATATGAAAAAAAAAGTTCATTTTTTTAATATGGTCATACAATATCTCAATTTTAAAACAATTATAAGTATTTTCCCCCCCATCCAAAGTTGCTTTCATGTGCACACTAATTATAAAATATTATGGTACTCATACGCAATTATTTTGATATTAGCTACTTGCAAATACCATTAGATTTCAGCCTATAAATTTAGCATGGGACATTAAAAGCACCCAAACTTGTTAGAATGATTAGCCAAGTAGCGTTTTGATTTTTTGGAACAGATATGGTTATTATGAATGTTTAGTCGTCTTTTGTTTAACAAATGCCCGTACGGTATTCATAGATCTGATGAACCGGATTTTCAAGTCCTATGTGGACTGATTTGTTATCATCTTCATTGATGATAGTTTGGTTTATTCAAAAATTGGCGATTATTATGTTGAGCACTTGATGATAGTCTCAAGTTACGGGAGCAGAATCAATTATTTCCCAGAATCATGTTTTTGAGTCACGTCATGACATATAATTTTTGAGATGTGTTCGAAGTCAGAATAGAAGAGGAATAATCTGAATCATATTTTGTAATTGGCAGTTGTAATCTTTACTCTCAAAACCTGAAGACATTACCTATACGGATTGAAGTGAAAATATTCACTGATTATTAGGTTCTGAAATATATTTTCATACAAAAAACTTGAATTCGAGACAGATGACACATCTAGAGCTCATCAGAGACTGATCCGAATAAATACTTTTATTATGGTCGAGTAAATGGAGTTGATGATGCTTTGAATTGTAAATTTACAAGTATTGTGAGTTAGATTATTACTTAGAAACCGAGATTTGATTAATAAAATTGATGTTTTATAGCTGGAGATCAGAAGACCATCATGTATTTGCATCAATTGGTTGTGCAACAAACTTTTAAAGACAGAATTAAAGCGTCACAAAAAGTTAGAAGTGAATATCATAAACTCATTGAATCAATTCATTCAGAAAGCGAGAAGTGACTACAGATAAATATGGTATTATCATTAATAAGTTACGACTTTGGGTATCTACTGATCCAAATTTGAGGCATACGATCTTACATGAACTCATCATGGATGTTACACAATTCACCCAGGTAGCACTAAAATACACAAGGATTTGAAATTGATGTTTTCATGATTAGGTAGTAAGAAGTAAGATGCAAGTTTTATCTCAAATGTCAGGATTGTCAGATTATAAAGGCTAAGCATCAAAGACCGTTAGACTGCTACAGTGTAGTGTTACGGTAGTATTTGGGTGATCATAGATATATTGACAATCAATTCATTTCTTATCAATTAAACAGACAAACTCAGTTGAAATATTAGCCAAACTTTATGTTACAATTTTAACCAAACTACATGACTTTAAAAGGTAATTATTAATGATAGAGATGGAAGATGCAAATCCAAGTTGTGAAAAGGCAGTCAGAAAAATTTCTTTTGCAACATATACAGTGTTTCTTCCACAGTGAGGGGCATTCGGAAGAAATATTTTAGGTATTAGAAGAGCTATTAAGGTTGTGTCTTAAACTTTGAAGTCAACTAGAAAGATCAAATTCTAATTATTGAATTTGCATACAACAATAGCTATTAATTCGACAATAATATTGTTCCATATTAACCATTATATTGCAAGAAGTGCATAATTCCATTAAGTTTGGTTGAGGTAGAAGAGCATCAACTGCTAGGTCCAAATTTTGTTGATGAATACACGAAAATCAAATTAATTAGAGATAGATTGAAAGCTACTCAAGATCGACAAAAAAATAATAATATGACCCAAAAGACGAAGTTTTGAAGTTATTAAGTTGGCGGTTTTGTATTTTTAAAAGTTAGGTGGGTGAAAGGCATAATCAAATTTGTTAAGTCTCAAATATATTAGACCTTTTTAAAATCATAGACAAGATTTGCTAAATTGCTTATAGACCAGTCTTATCAACTAATATATATGATATCCATGATGAGTGCATATATATATATATATATATATGAGAGAAAATGATTTTCAGACTCAGGCCAGAGAATCTCACATGAGAATATTAAGTCCAACAAAATTTGCCGAGAGAATTTTAAAGTTTAATGTTGAAAAATTTAATCATCAACAAATTTCTTATATTAAAGAAAAGTGGAAGCACAGCACAAAAATAAGCCACATTAAAAAGAGAACAAGAAATTCCCTACCTTTTCTAGTAATTACTTGAAAATTTTGAGTAAATTTTTTTTATAAAAATAGTATTGTAACACCCAATTTTAACCAATCAAGTAAATTTTTCTTAAATTTAAAATATACCCTGATTTTTGTACTTCCCAAAATACATCTAAATTATGTTCATAAAATTCTACATTTTATATCGATCAAATTGATATAAAACACTAAACATAAGTTACTAATATAGCTAACTTTAAATTAATTAATTAATTACATATCAATCCTGATTAAACTAACTGATCCTTGATTAGTTAAATCCTAGTAACCATAGCAAATGAAAGTTTTTCACTAATAAGAGCATGCGAAGGTTTGATTTGTTTAAAGTGCTGGTAATCAACTATAATTAGGCATTTACATACATAGCGCCCAATTCTCATGGATTTCCGTTTATCCCACCAAAATTTTTATATTTACACGCACAACACTAAATTATTTAGTATCACATAAAAAATAGCACAAATTATCACATTTTAATAGTAAAATACCCTTTTCATGCATTGGTAAAATGGTATGCATGTAAATATGAGTTTAATTGTGAGATAAGTAAATTCATAATAACTGCATGCAACTTATATAAACTTTCCTTAATTATAAACATGTCATAAATAAATGTATGTCTGTGTGTCTATATATATATGAATATATATATATATATATATATATATATTTATATAGCTAGCTTGAAATGCCTAAGGATCATTTTTAGATTTAGAAATCACCAAAGCACAACACGCAAATATTATTGCTCATGGCCCACCCATTGCCTCCTAATATTGTCGATCAGCCACCCCTCATTATATTTCAATGCAATCAAAATGATTCCTAACTTAAGTATGTCTGAACATCCGTGATGGTGGAGTAATAAATTATCATCTTAGCATTGCACAAAACTCAAAACACACTCAAATAATTAAAGAGAAGTAGAAGACACCTCAAATTTTTAACTTTCTAAGGTTGTTAGTCGAAACTTTTTATTGACGGTCGTAGTCTGTGATGGAAGAGGTCAAATTGAATTCCTCTGCAATCGATTAAGCCAAGAATGAGATGTTAAAGATGTCTGTGTTTTTCGAGACTGAAGCATAAGTCATAATGGATTGTACTTATTTTACTCAAGAATAATGTTTGGCAACTTACTAGATGTTGCTTTTGAATTTGTTATCCCCACGTAGGGGTGTTTTCTACATGGGATTCTAAAGCAGCTCATGTATAGTTGGGAAAGAACTCTGATATTGTGGGAGATGTTGAGAAGGTGTTTTGTAAGGTTGTCCCGCAGTCTGAAAGTCGTTCTTGGAGACTTGATGTTTAAATGAAATGTGGGATGACTATCTCACCACAGTCAGGGGCGTTAATGTGAACGACCTTTTGAGATTGCAGTGAAGGTTGTCCCCAGCT